AAAATTAAGTATATCAAGCATTTAATCAATATATATGCTCTGGTGTGCAACAAACACGACAATCAGTAATTAATAATCTAATTTTAAATTATATTTTTATTCCCTAAAGTAGTGCTATATTTTAAGAAATAAGAGCTCATTGGCAAACTTTCAACTAAAGCAAGAAACTTAAGAATTAATATGTATTTTTTTTTTTAATCCTCACCCGAGGACACCTTTTCCATATTTTGTTCAGATAGAGTGGAAGGGAGAGAGACAGAGAGAGAAACATCGACGTGAAAGGGACACATCGAGTGGCTGCCATCCGCACAACCCAACCAGGGTCGGGGACAAACTACAACCGAGGTACATGCCCTTAGCGGGAACCAAACCTGGGTCTCTCTGGACCGCAGGCTGATGCTCTAACCGCTGAGCCAAACTGGCCAGGGCAATGTATTTTTTTTATAGGTAGGTGGTTCATGGTTCTATTATTAGAATTCTTTAGCATCTATTTCATTGAACCTTAATAGGTGAGCAGGTGGACCTTGCTTAGAACTATGTAGCTGCATTCCTTTACTGTAAGCTCAGTGGAGAATCAGGGTAACCATGGGGATAGCAACAGGGCCAAGCTCATGGCTTTTTAATTTAATTATTATTGATTGTTTAGAAGGTCTTATATTTTTGCAGTGGTTGAATATTACTTTGAAAAGAGAAAGGGGGGCAGATGAACAGACAGATGAAGGAAGAAAAGGAAGGGAGGGAGGGAAGGAAGGGAGGGAGGGAAGGAGGGAAAGAAAAGGTGCACAGATAGATATAAGCTTGGCTTAGAGTGGGGGCTGCTGCCTTCTGTGCTCCTGGGCCTCACTGTGCTCCTGTCATGTGTGGTTCCCTAGATGGAACCAGAGCTATACCACAGTACTGTGTATCCTAGGCTTCTGTTCCTTTACTTCCTGCGTTTTATAGAAGAATCTAGGAAATCCCTGGGAGCTTGTGAGGAGTGGAAGTCTAAGGATGACTAGGAAAGAAAACCATACATTTCCTTTGAGTGGAAACATGAAGTACTGCCTGTTGACTTCTTACTTAGACTGAGAAAAAGCTGAGTAACAACCTGACTCAGTTAAGATGACCTCTGTTACCAAACTATAGCAATGGTATCCACCGGACAGATACAGTGTTATAAACCAATAGGAAATAATTGTTCCTGTGAAACACACAAGAGGATTGAGAATGGCATGTGTATAAACAAGCATGGGCCGTGTATGTTGTTGAATGACAGGGTATGCCCACAACTTTTCAGTATGATATTGCCCAAACAAAGTAATATTACTGTCTGATTGACTAATTCTGCAGGATCTGGTTTTCATAAAAAATTCAAAAGGACAGGAGCAGTAGAAAAAGCATTGACGAATGTACAACGAAGATTACTAGCATACTCCATTTTTTTGTACTCCACCCCCTGCCCTAGCACTGGCTGTTAACAGCACTTAACATGGACCTAAACCAGTCTTGCCATTTTTTTTCTCTCCCCCTTTTTTTTTTCTAATTTGATCTGAAACATGCTTTCTTCCTTTCCTTCTAACTCTTAGGAATAGAATAGTATCTATTCTGCCTTTGGATTGGGTTAAGTGTCCTAGGTAATCAAGTGCCCTACCTGTAACCGTTACAAACAAGATTTTTAATGGGTCCATAGTGTGTCTTCCAGGAACTGTGATAGCGCTATTTTTCAGTTTTAGTTCAAAAGTAGCACCTGTAAATCTGTCTTTTTACTCAGAGTTTACCAAATAATAGGAAAAGGATCCCATTTACAAAAGTTAACAACAAGACAGTAAAAATGATCTTAAAGAGAAATATGTGAAACTTAGTTGAAGCACATTATAAGAATTTGCTAATTATACATAAAAGAAGACTTTTAAATGTCAGTTCTTTCTGAATTTAAAGGTTTGGTGCAATTCCAATAAAAATTCTTAATGTGGTTTTTCTTTTTTGTTACATAAAAAGGTTATTATAATCATCTAGCTACATTTTATTAAGAAGAGAAATTAGGAGGCACATGGCTTCTATGTCAGTACATTTCATATCTATTGTGATTGAATAATTTTTGAATTTATTGCTGACGGTATTACAGATGTTCCCCCATCCCCCCCCCTTTTTTTTTGCTCTGACCAATATTTATTTATTTTTATTTTGTCTTGAATTTATTGAGATAACATTGGTTGATAAAACCATACAGGTTTCACATGTACAACTCAGTAAAACATCATCTGCATACTATATCATGCGCTCACCACCCAAAGTCAAGTCTCTTTCCATCCCCATTTATCCTTCTTGGGCCACTTCCACCTCCCCCCAGCCCCTTTCCCTCTGGCTATCACCATACTGTTGTCTATATGTCATATATATATATATATATATATATATATATATATATATATATATATATAAATCCCTTCACTTTTTTTACCCAGCTCCCCCCAATCCCCCCTCCCCCGTGACAGCTATCAGTCTGTTCTCTGTATCTATGCTTCTATTTTGTTTGTTAAATTATTTTGTTGATTAGAGTTCACAGATAAGTGAGATCATATGGTATTTGTCTTTCTCAGACTGGCTAATTTTACTTAGCATAATAATTTCCAGGTCTATCCATGCTGTTGCAAAAGGTAAGATTTTCTTCTTCTTTTTTTCTTTTACAGCAAAGTAGTATTCCACTGTGGAAATGTACCACAGCTTTTTAATCCATTCATCTACTGATGGGCACTTGGGCTCTTTCCAGATCGTAGCTATTGTAAATAATGCTGCAATGAACAAAGGGGGTGCATATAATCTTTTGAATTAGTGCTTCGAGTTTCTTTGGATATATTCCCAGAAGTGGGATTGCTGGGTCAAAAGGCAGCTTCATTTTTACTTTTCTAAGGAAAATATAGACTGTTTCCCCCAGTAGCTGCACCAGTCTGCATTCCCACCAACAATGTATGGGGGTGCCCTTTTCTCCACATCCTCAGTCATATTTGTTGATTTACTAATGAAAACCATTCTGACAGGTGTGAGGTGATATCTCTGTGTGGTTTTAATTTGCATTTCTGGGCTAATAAACATTTTAGAATGTTAAAAAATTTTTAATTCTATTTTTATCCAAGTAGTAGCAATTTTAAAATATGCATGTTGGCTAGAATTGAATAAAATAGGCTCTCTGTACAGTGACAGAGGGGACATAAATTGGCACAAACTATTTAGAAAAATTGTTGATAGTATGCAACTAGATCTTTAGAAGTATTTGTATCTTTTGTATCAATAATTCCATTTCTAGAAAACCATTCAAAGATAATCATAAAACAGATTATAAGGGTAATCTCATTAGAATAATAATAACTGGTGTCTTAGAAATGTAATGATCAGGGACTGAGAAGGTAAAAATCTCACCTAGCCATCCAGTGGAATATTCTGTAGCCCTTTAAAGGTATGTCTTCAAATGACCAATAATGTTCATGTGGTAATGTTAAGTTAAAAATTTAATGTTTTAATGTATACAAGGGAAAATAATCAAAATAGTAACAGGAATTATCACTATTTAGTAGAGTTATAGTCAATTTAAATTTCCTTCTTGATATTGTTTCATAGCTTTTGTTTATCTACAGTAAGCATATTACTTTTATAATCAGAATAATAAACACTAAAGATAGAGCCCATTTCTTTAGTACATCTTTCTGAATTTGAAATTCAAGCAGACAAATAAGTAAAAATATAGAATATTTGAAAACTATCATCAAGTTTCTTTAAATAGATATACAAATAGATCTAGAACTTTGGATAAAAAGCATTCTCATATCTACAGAACATTTACAAAATCATTAATATCTTGATCATGAATAAAATCTTACTAAATTTTAAAAACTAAAAATATTTTCTAAATATAAGCCAGTAAAGCTAGAATTTAGAAACAAAAAGATAACCATAAATATAACTGCTTATAAGTAAGAATTTGTTTTCTAAATAACTCCTGATTTAAAGAGGAAATTATTATATGAATAAAATATTTCTGTAATATACTATTCCTTCCTTATCTGTGGAGGATGCACTCCAAAACTCCCAGTGATGCCTGAAACCACAGATAGTACTGAACGCTTTGTATATTCTATGTTTTTCCCTTTGCATACATTCCTATGATAAAATTTAATTTAAAAATTAGGCACAAAAAAAGATTAACAATAATAACTAGTACGAAATAGAATAATTATAACTAGACTGTAATAAAAGTTGTGTGAATGTGTTCTCAAAATATCTTATTGTACTGTATTCACCCTTCTTGTGATGACGTGAGATGACTGAATATCTGCCTGAAGATGAAGTGAGGTGAATGACAGGTGGAACACACATGCTCATTCTCCTTTTATGTTTCCCCACAGAGCATATATATGTCAGGTAAAAGTTTATTTTGAGTAAATTTGACATTCAAATTAATCTCATCAAATTGGGAAATGCTTTTTGTATATTCATTTAATCTATTTATTGATTATCTACTGTGCCAAGGCTCTGTGCCAGGTACCCTGGGTATACATGGAGAAGTAAGATGCAGCCTTGAGAAGCTTGTATTACGAGGAAATAGTTACCAATATTAGAAGTAAAATCTTTAAAATACTTATTTATTTGTCTAGTAGAGGATTGCCATTTATTTGGACACTGGTGAGAGCCTTGCAAATTTTCAGCTATGGCACCATTGAAAGAAAAGTAATTTGCATCAGGTTTATCTTCAAAATTTATCAGTGTCATGACTCTGAACTTGATTCTGTTTTCTTTACTTGCATACTCAAAAAATCAACTTAAGAGTTAAAAGGTGACTATTGTTATATTGCATTGAATCACAGTTATGATCATCACTTGTAAAGAGGTACAAACATGCTGAGTTGGTAATATACTAATGTCAGATGTAATTCTATGATGTTTGCTTTGTACAGTCTGATTTTACTGAAACATATTTATTCACTAAAGAATTTCCTTTTGCTTAATATTTTTCTTCTTTTTTGTAGGAATTTATTTTGTCAGAAGATTATAACAAGATGACTCCTATGAAAAACTATCAAGGTAGGAATGAGAGCAGTGCTTTCATTTACCTAGACTTTGAGATGTTTCATGATGGCTTCCACTGCTACAAGGGAGGCCTTACTTTAAAATAGTCAGGGGAACAAAAAGAGCAAGAATTTGAGGTTATCTCATTTTTAGAAGTGAGATGCTGAGGCCTAAAGAGGTAAGGCGACTTGCCTGTGGTCCTGTAGCTGGTAAAGTGCAGGGCCTTCCTGGTCAGTGTGACTCCAGAATCCAAAGGCTTTGTCCTTTGGTTTCCGACTTACTATACTACACTGCTCCTAACAGTGCAGCAGGTGTGGAGAGCAGGGCCAGTGTTGGGAGTGAGCTGCTTTACATGGGGCTCATTTAATTTTTGGTTAAATGTTTTATTTATTTATTTGAATATGTTTTTATTGATTTTTTAGAGAGAGAAACATCTTTCCTGCATGCCCCCCACTGAGAATCAAGTCTGAAACTGGGCATGTTCCCTGACCAGAATCGAACCTGGACCTCTCAGTCCCTGGGATGCTGCTCAGTCCACTGGGCCACACTGACCTGGCATTTTTAGTTAAATGTTTTAAAAGGCCCAAAGTGTTTATACTATCTAAGAGAGGGAATTGTGGTTGTACCTTCACCACTGATAGTGTACCACAGGCCATTTCCATCATATGGATCAGGAATAATTTTTGTTAAGGATTTCTTTATCCAGACAACAATGTCATGGGATCAGAACATTAGCTGTGGACCTTTTAACACTTAGAGATCATTTCATCCAAATATCTTGACCTCATTCATCCTGCATGGTCATCCAGCAAATCTCTCATAATGTCCAGAGACAGAGTAGCCCATCCTGATTTGGGAAAATGCTAAGAATTAAGTTCTTTAATTTTATATTTTGAACCAAAATTTATTTCCCTATAGATTTATTCTTTAATTTTTTTCACATATCACTTATCAAGTATTTATTGAGTACTAGTCATTGTTCTGATAACTGAGGATTATAATAGTGAAAAAGACATATGTAGTATCTGCCTGTAAGTAGTTTATAACTGTGTAGAAGATACAGACAGGTACACAGACCACTAAAATGTTATGTGATAAAGGAACATTTGAGATCTTGCTCCCTGGCATATGTTGTCAGTTTGGCCCAAATAATAATGTCATGTGATAAGTGTTAGAGTAATAATGTTAGGTGATCTAACATAAAAAATAATGTTACACGTGCTAGAATGTTCCCCCATAGCACTTTGCTCAGCCTATTGGAGCTACAAAACTAAGTGTACTCTCTCTTACACATGACAGCTTTTCAGTGCTTTTATTTATTTGTTTGTTTGTTTGTAATCCTCACCCGAGGATATTTTTATATTTATCTTCAAACAGAGTGGGAGGAAGAGAGAGAGAGAAACATCGTTGTGAGAGAGACACATCAGTTAATTGCCACCCACACGACCCCAACTGGGGCCAGAGACTAACTGCAGCCGAGGTACGTGCCCTTGGCCGGAATCAAGCTCAGGACTCTGGTCCGCAGGCCAAGGCTCTAACTGCTGAGCCAAACTAGCCAGGGCTGTTTTTAGTGATTTTAAGAGTCATGAAAATTCTAACCCCTGTTCATTCTTCTCCTTTTTTCCTTCTGTTTTCTAGTATAAGCACTTTATATTTTCCTGTACATGACCTGAGTTTCTGTTCTTTAAAAATTTTTTAATTGTCTTGGTCACAAATCTTGGGATATCATGTTGTACTATTGGAACCATTTAAAAAATGTGACACACTGTGGTATGCAGCCTCTAAGGTGGCTCCTAATGATCTTTGTCTCGTGGTACTCATGTTTCTCTCCTTGAATGTAGGCTGGACCTAAAATACGGCAAGTATTGTATATCACTTCTAAGATTAGATTACAGAAAGACTGGGCTTCCATCTTGCTGGCTCTGTCCTGCTCTCTTGCTTCCCTGTTCTGGTGGGAGCCACTGCCATGTTGGGAGCTGCCTTGAGAAGCCACGTGGTAAGGAACTGAGGGGAGACCATAAAGACAGTCAGAAAGGAACTGAAGCCCTCATTTCAGCAGCCTGTGATGAACTGAATCATGTCAACAGCTATGTAAGATTCCCCCTCTGTCAGGCTTTCAGATGAGACCACAGCCCCTACACCTTGATTCTGACCTGCGAGAGACTTTGCAGAAAAGGCACCAAGCTAAATGGCACCAAGATTTCTCATCCACAGAAATTCCCCTGAAATAACAAATGTTTACTATTTTAAACCACTAGGTTTTGGGATAACACACACATATAATGTGATAAGTACAAAATAATATTGCCTTCCTCTTCTGGGACACTGTTCTAATAGCAAGGGTAGCAGCCACATTGCACTGTGAGCTCATGTGGAGTAGTCAACCCCTCAACAGTTCTCACTTGAGTTGTTATCAGGCTGCATCTCCTATACTTATTTTTTCTGTTTTGTTTTGTTACAAATGATTCTCCTTTTCCCCCCATTGACACCATCCTGCCCCTCCCTCCCCGCCTTGTCCCCAGCTTTGTTGTCCATGTCCATTGGTTATGCATACATGCATATAAGTTCTGTGGTTTATGCCCCCCCCCTTCTTCCGGGGATTATCAGCCTGTACCCTACTTCCATGTCTCTGGCACTACCTCGTTCCTCAGACTGTTATGTTCATTATATTCCATAAATAAGTGAGATCATATGACCTTTATCTTTCTCTGCTTGGTTTGTTTCACTTAGGATAATACTTTTCAGGTCCCTCCGTGTCCTCTCAAAGGATAAGAGATCTTTCTTTCTTACAGCTGCACAGTACTCCATTGTGTATATGTACCACAGCTTTTTTATCCATTTGTCTACTGATGGACGACACTTGGGCTGTTTCCAGATCTTAGCTATTGTAAATAGTGCTATAATGAACATTGGGTGTATATATTCGTTCTGATTGGTATTTCAGGCTTCTTAGGCTATATTCCTAGAAGTGGGATCACTGGGTCAAATGGCAGTTCAATTTTTAATTTTTTGAGGTAACACCATAGTGTTTTCCATAGTGGTTGTACTAGTCTGCATTCCCACCAGCAGTATACTAGAGTCCCCTTTTCTCCACACCCTCACCAACACTTGTTTGATGATTTGTTGATGGCGGCCATTCTGACAGGTATGAGGTGATACCTCATTGTTGTTTTAATTTGCATCTCTGTGATGATTAGTGATGTTGAGCATTTCTTCATATGTCTCTTGGCCATTTGTATGTCCTGTTTGTAGAGGTGTCCATTTAGTTCATCTGTCCACTTTTTAATTGGGTTCTTTGTCTTTCTTTTGTTGAGTTGTGTGAGCACTTTATATATTTTGGAAATTAACCCCTTATCGGATATATCATTGGCAGTTATGCTCTCCCCTACAGTGGGTTCCCTTTCCATATTGATGGTTGTTTCTTTTGCTGTGCAGAAGCTTTTTAGTTTGATGTAGTCCCATGTGTTCATTTTTCCCTTTGTTTCTGGCCTTGGGTGATGTATCAGTGAAAATTCTGCTGCGTATGATGTCTGAAATTTTGTTGTCTACATTTTCTTCTAGGATTTTCATGGATTCACGAGTCACATTTAAGTCTTGTATCCATTTTGAGTTTATTCTTGTATATGGTGTAGGTTGATTGTCTAGTTTTATTTTTTTGCATGTAACTGTCCAATTTTCCCAACACCGTTCATTAAAGAGGCTGTCTTTACTCCACTGTATGCTCTTGCCACCTATCTCAAATATTAATTGAGCATAATGTCCTGGGTCCATTTCTGGGTTCTCTGTTCTGTTCCACTGGTCTAAATGCCTGTTCTTATGCCAGTACCAAGCTGTTTTAATTACAGTAGATTTGTAGTATAACCTGAAATCTGGTATTGTGATCCCTCCTTCTTTGTTCTCCTTTTTCAAGATTGCTGTGGCTGTTCGGGGTCTTTTTTTGGTTTTATCTGAACTTTAGAAATATTTGTTCTAGTTCTGTGAAATATGTCATTGGTATTTTGATGGGGATTGCATTGAATCTATAGATTGCTTTGGATAGTATGGACATTTTAATTATGTTAATTCTTCCAATCCATAAACAAGGTATGTGCTTCCACTTTTTTGTTTTGTTTTGTTTTTTTATCCTCACCGAGGACATTTTTCTATTTTTTGTTCAGCTAGAGTGAAAGGGAGAGAAAGGAAGAGAGAGAGAAACATCAACATGAAAGGGACACATCGAGTGGCTGCCTCCTGCACACACTACCCAACCAGGGCTGGGGACAAACTGCAACCAAGGTATATATTCTTAGCGGGAACCAAACCCGGCTCTCTCCGGACCGCAGGCTGACTCTCTAACTGCTGAGCCAAACCGGCCAGAGTGGTTTTTCCACTTTTTTATATCTTTCTCCATTTTTATTTTTTTTACAATGTCCTGCAGTTTTCTGCAAATAGGTCCTTTACTTCTTTTCTTAAGTTTATTCCTAGGTATCTTAATTTTTTTTGCCACGATGGTAAATGGGGTTGTTTGGTTTTTTTTTTTTTTTTAATTTTTTTTTATCCTCATTCGAGGACATTTTTCCATTTTTTATTCAGATAGAGTGGGAGGGAGAGAGAGAGAGAAACATCGATGTGAAAGGGACACATCGAGTGGTTGCCACCCGCACGACCCAAGCAGAGCCGGGGACAAACTGCAACCGAGGTACGTGCCCTTAGCGAGAACCGAACCCGGGTCTCTTGGGACCACAGACCGACGCTCTAACCGCTGAGCCAAACCGGCCAGGGCGGTTTTTTTTTTTTTTGCTTTCTCTTTCTGTGAGTTTGTCATTGGTGTATAAGGATGCCATTGATTTCTTGACATTAATTTTGTATCCTGCTACTTTGCCAAATTTATTATTAAGTCTAGTAGATTTTTGATGGAGTCTTTAGGTTTTTCTATGTATAATATCAATCATCTGCGAATAATGACAGTTTCACTTTCTCCTTTCCAATTTGGATTTCTTTTATCTTTTCTTCATGTCTGATTGATATGGCGAAGA